TGTCAGGCTATTTTACGTCTGTACTTTGACCCTTGTTGGCAGCTTTACTACTGTCTGGTAAATATATACATGTAGTGTTGCACGTTGCTACTAAGTTATTTTACCTCACCACAAATGACCCCTCACTGGACCTGACTAGAGTCAACTATCTCCCTTTAATGTTTACTGTTTTATTTCTAAAGCTTAATTTATTATTCTGAATGTTTTGCAGAAATGTCCTCCTTCGCGGATTACTCATTCTATGTAAATGTAAGAGTTTTACTAGCAATCAGTCATAGCAGGGGAGGGTCAGTTATGACAGCTGCTAGGGGATATATTTCAAATCATTGTCCCTTAGAATAATTGTATTCCTGTATTTATTCTTCAATTGCCAGTTAATTGTTTCCATCCCTGAAACTGTCTGTGCACTGCTATGAAGTTCCTCAAGGGTCAAACCTAGGACCTTTCTTATTCTTCATTTAAATGGAAAGAACGACACGTGTAATGTTAAAGTAACCAAACCCCTCCATTGGCTGAAGTTATTATGAGCAAAGGTAATTATGAAGGAGGAAGTAAGGTGATAGTGTCATATAGTCTCTGTAGGGAGGATGTCAGGGTGGACTATGGGTCAACTAAACATCAGACTTTAACACAGGAGGCCAGTCTTCTTTTACCAAATCAAACCAACATTCATAGTTTCAACCATTGTGCTTGGAATTGTCCTGAATTTCTCAAACTTTCCTGCGTCTTTGGTTGCCTCATCTGCAGATGTTTTTCCAGCCTTGTGTTCCTCCTCCATGAATACACACTTGTACACTTTAATGATAACATCTGATAGGGATTTGCATGTCTGAGTCTTTCATCCCAGGCCCCTTATAGATCAACGAGGTGTTTACGACCTTAACCATAACCAAATGCTCATAAGCACTGAAACCAGCATAATATGACATGTGTGCGTATGTTTGAAATAAGGAGTGATGGAGGGGGTCGAAGGAGGAAAATGATACTGCAGTAATCTACCTCTCCTTTCACCTCCCTCCTTTATTTTCTATTGACAGCCGGCACTCTTCTTTTCCCTCCCTCTTTTTATGCATCTCCCGCTCATGCCACACATATGGTGTCCATTTCTTTCCGTTGCTTCCTCCTCCTTCCCCCATTTATGTCTTTCTTTCTTTGCCTTCTCTCAATTTCTGTTAATCTCTTCAATCTTTAGGACTCTATTTTAAAACTATTTCTGGTTCTAATTTCTTTCTGTTTTAAAATAGGGAAATCATAATAAAATTATATAAACAGCATTATCACGTATACTGTTCCACAGCTTTGAATGCTTTAATATCACACCTGTCATATTTAAACCGCGTATATTGTCTTTTTAGAAGAAATTACGAACAGCCCTGCATAGAAAGTAGAGTGGTATGGTTTGTAAATAACATGAATATGCAACTTAAATACATTTATTTAGACATATTTTCTTTTCAGCTTCTTTGTGTCATCCCATTCTTCTTACCCACGATGCCAATGTCAAAACATATTTTGACATATCTTTGTGTTTCCATAGCAACTAAATGTAGTGCTAGTGGATAGAAATGGTTCAACATTAGTGTGCTTTCTCACCACTGACTTTATCTATCCATCTTTCCATCTTCGCTTTTCTCGAGGCCATGATCCTTCACCCTCTGTCCCTTGTTGCTTTTGCTTTTTAAAAGAGAACTTTGTGACGGTCATTGACCCCTACTGGTCACCTCTAGAACAACATCAAACTGTAAAATAATGCAAGGTGAATCTCTGATGCAATGATAGAAAGTACTCAAATTGCCATGTCATGCATGTGGGTAAAAAACTATTCTAGGGTATGACATACTAAGATAACTACCTCAAACCATGGTCACAGATATAACACTATGTCTATTGATTTTTACATTCAGCTTGCAATAAGGAGTAAAGCTTTCTCTCCTGGCTGGTCCTTTGTCCAGATCTGCTTTCAGCTCCATCCCACCCTCTCTATTCGGCCCACTCAAACTCCTACGCAGCGCTTAAATACCTCTCACCTACATCCTCCTCTCTTCTTTTGACTCTCACTCTCCCTCTCTATCTGTTAAAATGCACACTTCTCTAAACCTCTCGGCAGCCAATCAATGATGCTTCATTGCCAACGTCCAAAATAATTGTAACTTTATATCATATACAGAAAGAGAAAACTGAAAAACCCAACTTACCCATGTCATTTAGAATATAATAAAAACCACAAACTTTAGTTAACTTTATCAGTTCAGTTTTTATTATCACAAAAAACAATCAAATCAAAAGAGACTTAACATCAAGATATATTGCATAGAAAACTCAACAAAGTAGCATTTTCCCTTACAAATATCCCTATTCACATCACTGGAATTGAACGATGTGTGCATAAATGCATATAATTAGCATGCACACACATGAGGGCAAGGCAGTGGCGTGGCTCCCATTTACACACGACTGTAAATTACCCAACACTTCTCAATCAATTATTCATAATCCGTAATTAATTATGAAACGATCAGTAATCCAATACCAGTCCACTCGGCTTGTGGTTGCCTAGTAACCATGACCCATATTAAATGCCAGCATTGTTGCCCGTAACCAGAGCGCCCATTTTTTTTCCCACAGGGCTTCGGGCCTGGGGGAATTATAGTGGAGAGTAAATAAAGTGTGTATGGGGAGTGAATACGGTGGATGTCCGTGTGTACGCGTGTGGTCATATCATACTGGTTGCTTTGAAGGGTGATCACACGGGGTAAACAAGCATGGCCGATTAATAATGCAGTATTTTAGCTCGTGCCGGGAATGACTATGGCCTACGAGAGCCCTCTAATGGGATACGCCACGGGGAACACGAGCAAAGAGCACGGCGCTCACAGCCAGACAATGATGATAACACGTCTATGGGGACGCATAACTGCGCAGCACACTACTTTGTCGGCACTTGTTCTGGAACTGCATCAGCAAGTCTCCATATGGTGCTCTGGAGGCCTGAATGAATGATTTATAACACCGTTTTGGGGTGGTGAGTGGCCATTTTTAGGAGGAGAGTGTTCAGTAGATCACTTTCCCTGCACTTTACTGCAACAGCACATTGAACATATACTGCTTGTGTCCTTTTCTTTCTCTCTGTGTCTCTATTCCCTCTTATTATTTCCCTCTCCACCGATGACTGTTGCCCTTTCCTATTCCAAATCCTCCACCGCTGTCTTTTTAAGTACAACTTCCACATCCTTTTTCCACACCAGGAGATAAACACAGCCTATAAATATAGAAGCTGTGTTTTTTACTGTCATGCCACGCCAGTGACATGTAAAAATATCCTTCGATCTGGGGAACATCCTGCCTCCAGTGAGAACATGTAGCCTGTTTGTTTTGTGTGTGTGTGTGTGTGCCTTCTCCTGCAGTCAGCCGTCTTTTATTTCTTCAGTGAGAATCTGTATGGGCCTGTGTGGGAGGTGAAGGGAGACAAAGGAGAGAGGAGCAAGAAAAAAGTCAATGACATAAGAGAAACAGAGAATGAGAGAGAAAAACTAAGCGGTAGAAAGAGAGGGAGAGAGAAAAGTGTGAAGAATGGAGAGAGGGTGGGTTGGGTGGAGGTAAGGTGGAAACGGTGAGCACCGTGTGACCAGACTGCGGTTCCTTCCTCGCCAGCCTGAGAACCAGGAAGTAGTGCTGCTTGTTCTTGCATTATTGAGACTAACAGGAAATGCAAAGGTCTTCAGGAGGGTGTGTGTGTGTGTGTGTGTGTGTGTGTGTGTGTGTGTGTGTGTGTGTGTTGTGTGTGTGTGTGTGTGTGTGTGTGTGTGTGTGTGTGTGTGTGTGTGTGTGTGTGTGTGTTTGTGTGTGTGTGTGTGTGTGTGTGTGTGTGTGTGTGTGTGTGTGTGTGTGTGTGTGTGTGTGTGTGTGTGTGTGTGTGTGTGTGTTGTGTGTGTGTGTGTGGTGTGTGTGTGTGTGTGTGTGTGTGTGTGTGTGTGTGTGTGTGGGTGTGTGTGTGTGTGTGTGTAGGGTAGCTTGTTGTTTCACCTTTTTTAAACTGGCTTATTTATTGGCAATCTTTTTATTATAACAAATTGCTTTACAAAGTGAACAAATAAAATGTGTTTGTTAAATAATTTGTTGCAAACTCTGCTGTTCCCTTCTTCTCTACGGAGCGTTTTGGCCTGTTATTGTTTTGGTTTTCTAGGCAGAACTTTCAATGTTCTCTCTCTACTCTAATCAGGGTCGCTTCCAACTGTGGATAAATGGTGCTGGGCAGGTACCACATTGTTTGCTACCTGCCCAGCACAAACCGTCTCAGTTACAGTAGCAACTAACTGGTGAACACAGTGAAGCATTTAGCAGCTGAATAGCCAGAAACGTTCCCTCATAATTTGGTGGAAAGCTAACCGAAGCTGAGCGGTAGTGAATATTCTCATCATTCTCCCATACCAACGCTATCACCTACAGATGCAGACATCACACATCATTTTCACCAAAATGGCCCAAGTCTATTAAAGTATGTTGAATGGAATTTGACCAGTGGCGAGCAGTCAGGGCCCTCTAGGTCCTCTGTGAGGGCCTAAGATATTCTAAAAAATAATATTTGAAAACATTAAAAAAATAAATTTTTATTTTAAATATTTTTTTGTTGTTACATTTTTCATTAGTTTTACCAAAATAACTTGATTTAATTGTATTTAAAATAATATTTCAAATAAATAAATCCTTCGAATCTGCCTGTTCAGTTTCTGTTGAAATGTGAAGGGTTAAATGCCGTCTCTGCGAGTTATGTGAAGACGGGAGGGCTTGTTGGTCCCTCTGTACAATCACAGAAGGGGAGGTACTTCGCCTCTCTCTCGAGAGTAATGTCAAATGACAGTACAATTGACCAATCATATCTTCCCTCTAAATGGGCGGGCTTTATTTTTGCGGACTTTATGACAAGTTCCCTCCGCTGTGAGGTCTATGCAAGTGGTGCAGTAACGCATCCTAAAACCCGGAAGTAAACTTCGCTCGGATTCCCTCGACAGAAAGCAGTGGGATTTCTCCAGAGGATTTTGGAAAATAGCCCGAAATAAGGTCTGTGGAAAACGAACCTGTTAGATAAATGCACGTTTTGTTCAGCCGGATAATATCCACATGTCTACCCTACTTTTATTATTTTCGAAGGGGTCAGAGGGCCTAGGTATAAAAGTCACGGCTCGCCACTGAATTTGACTCTGACTCAGCTGTTTCCTATATACTAACCATCCAAACAGCATTTGTCCACACTTCATCTTCTAAACCCCAGTGCAGCCATTTTTCTCTTAAGTCATGCCGTGTAATTATTATTTATGTGCTATTAATGTTTAATATGATACTCCAGGGAAGATGGTGCCGTCATTGCCATTTCAGACCAACACAGAAACACACAGCCAAAGAGTTGGAGCATTTGCCCCACTTTTATCCTGAGACCTATCAAATGCTGTCGATGCTTTCATATCAAACATGTCATCGCCTAGGATCCATCCAGCAGAGTTCCCACTGAGGTCCCCCACTTTGATTGGAAATGCAAAGAATTAGGCTGCAACACATCACTGGGGATCCATCGCTTAAGGCTACGCCAAGCATGTCGCAACCGCCAGGCTCTGGGTGGATTCGGGGTCTGCTCTGATTGTTTCTCTTCTCCTGGGTTGGGTCTTTTTTCTTACCTCGTATATAGCATTTACTCAACACATTTCCAGCTGAATAAATGGATGACTTCGAGAGGGAGATGTTAGATCAGTGGATATGGCCCGCGATGTGGGCTTTTAGCACGCCAAGAGATCATCAAAATAATCACTGTTGCCTGTGCAAACAGTGTGCAGGTGCTCAGGCACAACACAAGATGAGACAGGGCCCCCCACGCCAGCTCGCAAGGGCCAGGGAGCAGCAGGTTGCCTTGGGAACCCTCGGCTCCCTCTTTCTTGTCATTACTCCTTTGCACACTCCCCCTTTTTAATCTGCACCATGCTTTCAGTGACAACCCCCATCCCCCTTGATATATACACACAATACATGCATGCACACACTCACATATAAAGAAGCTCAAGTAAGCAGGCAGAAATATGTGTTCATACGTGCACACACACATGCATGAACATCAGGCCTATAAAGATAAACATGCTGGTTTATCCGTCACTGAGCCGTAAACCCTGCATCAATCTGCACTCTATTTGGATAGCAGAGATTCAAAAGAGCCATTGTAAAATAGTATTCCTCTTCCTTATTCTAACAGTCATACAATACAGAACCCAGCTTTGGATCTGTTCTGATTTTGAATAGTACCCTTATCTATTCATGTATTTGCATTCTTCTTTATTTGTCTTTATTTAGCGGTATGTCTTTACAGTTTTGTATCTTAAGAGGTGAACCCACCCATGTCTCTCTTGCTCTCAACCTTAGCCTTCATCGCAGCATAATCAAAGCCTCCTTGAACAACCCCCAACCCCCCACACACACACTTTAGTCAAGCCACACATTCACTTATGTATACATAATATATACAACTCTCAGGTTTTTCACCGGGCTGAGGATGTGACCTGTGTGTAGTGCACGGCTCGCTCTGATTGCCCATTCAACAACAGAGGGGAAGTGCCCTGGCTCATCACCAAGAGAAAAAATGACGCCACTAAAGCTCCTCCAGCCGAACATTTTTTCACATAGTAAATCTTCATGAAATAATGAACAGCAACCTGTTATTGTTCCAAGGTGTGTCTGTAAATCAAACCAGGAGTGCTAAAGATTTGGACAAAGTGTGTTTTTATTTTGATAGAAATGTTCCTTTTATGTGTTGTGTAGGCTTTGGAAATGGTGGTGATATATCAGCGCCGTCCTGCAGCCTTCGGTATGATGTGTTTTATTAAGGTGAATTTGGGGCTTGATTAAATGTGGTTTTGCCTGCAGTATATCAATACATATTGAAAGTGTTTATGATGCTTAGCTCCAGGCGTACAGGTCTTAAGACTGGAACTCTACTGCCTCTCAGTGGGCAGTGGCTGAGTCAGAGAGACTTATGATCTCACATCTGGAACTGAGAACAGACTTGATGACATACAAGCCTACTAAAAATGGACAGAAAAAAATGAATGAGAAGAATTGGTGGATTATGGGCAGAAAAAGCATTTTTACAGTCTACACAATTACATCACTAAACAAGTGGACCAACAGAAAGAGAAACAGAAATGACAATTATTTAGATAATCAATTGATTGATTCTTTAGGTTGATTTTGATACCCCCAATTCTCTGGTTCCAACTTTTCCAATGTAAGCTTTTTCGGCTTGTTCTTCTTTAATTTGATATGAAACTGAATATATTTTTCTTTTATGACTGTTAGACAAAAAATGCTATGTGAAGTTGAATTTGGGCTATGTGATAGTGAAATGAGTATATTTAGCTTTCTTTCTTGTTTTTGGATCAAACTATTAATCATATATTCAATGAATTAGTTGCTAGTATAATTAAATAATAATTAGTTGCAGCTCTAAGATTTTCTTTTAAGTCTCTTTAGAAGGACCACGCTGTGTTTTAAGAGCATACATTTCTCACCACAAGACTAAAATTGCCCTTTCATCTTAATCATAACTTTCATCTTAATCATAACTTAATCATAACTTTTTCCCGAATAATTGTTTTGAAGTAATGAAAGAAAGCTTCACAGTTTCCAGTAAACACTTCAGAATCTTTTTATGTACAGGTGAAGTCAATAAAAATAGATTTATTTCCCAAAGTTGGTCATATTTCATAGTGGCAGTGCTACTGATGAGGTGTGGTTACCTTCATTTAGTCTCACAAACCTCCTGTATGGTTGTTTCTCGGGGAGGTGCCAGCTATAGTCTAAACTCATTCAGGGAGTTGGCTGGGTCAACACACGAGCCTCCTGGTTATCTGGCTGACACTGAACACACACCCCGGCACATACACAATCATACACATCAAGTCATTTTGGGTCATGGGAACGCGACAGTGAGCTCACACTGTGTTTATTCTGTATGGTTTCCTATTTGAATGTGTCCTTCTCACGGGACTGTTAATGGCTTCCCCTTTCCCAGGGCAAGGCAGTGCGATCAGACCTTATCCAGGTCATGCCAGTGGGGCAGGAGGTACCAGGAAGAATGAAGTAAATCCCGGACACTGTGTCAGCATCAAGGACTCCTGCTCCAAAGGTTTATCCAAGAATTGAATTAGCCGACTTGCCACGAAAAATGTGAGCTGTAATTTCTGATAAACACCTTGTTGGGGAAGGATTTTATGACGTGTTGTTGTGTGCACTTGTACTTTTCTTCTGTGTCTTGAAGTGCATAGTTTTAGGGAATCTAAACTCAACCAGCAACTACCTCTATTTGGCTCTCTTCTGATGGCAGATAAATGCTGAATGATTTTTGTGTAGAATTCACTTCATAGCCTGCTGAGGATTTATTGACTTAGGTTTGCTGCGGCGAGAGGTCTTATCACTTTAAAAGTCTAGCCCGAAGGTAAATGGATGTATCCCAGCAGAGAGCTGCAGGGGGAATAGACCCTCTAAAACAGGGGTGGGGAACCTCCGGCCCATACGGCCCGCGAGACCATTTGGTGTGGCCCTCGAGGTAATTTATAAACACACGCAAAAAAGAAAAAAATTAAAGAAATCTAGACCGCAAAATAATTAAACAAGTGAGTGCCTGTTTTTCCTGGCCAAGGTCAGGGTCCTTGAACACAACACAAGCCTAACGTGTCATCACGTGGTATGTCTCGTCTGACAGGGGTGTAATTCTGACGGAGAGCACGAGAGCACCAGAACGCCGCTCCGCTCCGGCACTTCCAAAAATTGCAGTACCCATAAGGAGCCGTACACACAGGGGCGGTTCTAGGGGGGGGCAGTGCCCCCCTAACACTGACCTGTGGCCCCCCTAAAAATGAAAAGTGAAAAAAATGAAAAATGTATGATTTATTACACGATTTATTGAATGACGGAATAGACGGAACTAACGTTATTCGTCATTCTAGTCGGACCCATTAGAGCGGTGCACTCAGGACCCATTAGAGCGGTGCACTCACTTTCACTGTCCGGCTGAAGCGCGCGAAAAACAAACACTTTTCATCTCGGATCATCAGAGGCTGTTGCATCCAAGAAAGACTGATTGAAACCTACGTTTCGAGAGACTACCATGATAATTGAAGGTGAGTTAAACTATTGTATCCGTGTAATTGTAGATGTAAAGTAGAGATGTAACTGTTCATTGCCTTTATTTTTATATAAATATGATATGGTGTTAGTGCAAAAATTGTACTATAACTTAAGCTGAAGCTAACAGTAATAACTATAAGATATATCTGAAATAAATAAGTGTACTGAAACAAATACCAATAACTGTATTGCATTGTTTTCTTATGCGCAATTACTTCATACTGTCTAGTTTTCTTTTTTGTCCTGCATTTATTGTGCCCCCCTCAGAAAATAACTGGCCCCCCAGTGGCCCCCCCCAGTCAAATTGGTCTAGAACCGCCACTGCGTACACATGCTGCAGTTTTTGCGTGGCTGTGTCTTAGTTGTAAGCCCAGTGGCGATCTGTCATACTGATCATACAGTCAATAACTTTGTTGTTATTAGCATCTGGTTAGCTAGCTATGCTAACGAATATAAGAAGCTTTTTCCACAACCAGTGAGGTAAAGGCACATTTGTATATGATCATTATAGTTATTAAACAAATAAGAGAATAAAGTAAATGGGTATAAAATACTATATGACAGTAAAAAAAAAGTTGTTATTAATAAACAAGAATACAGTTTGAAAGGAGAGTGATTTGTAAAATACCCATAAAGAAAAAGAAAATCTGCTTACAGTTCTGTTTCATCTGGGTGTTGAGAGATGTATCCATAGATCTCCTAATGTTGCTCCCAAAGTGCACCAGATTGATGCTTTTAACTTAAACATTTAAAAAAACGAATCTTCCCGGGGGAGCATGCCCCCCGGACCCCCCTAGAGGAGGTTAGGTCCCCCCACACTTAAATCATGTTCACATGGATAGGAGTCTAAATACATTTGCACACATCTTGTGTCCATATCTTTCTGTTTTGGTGGTCATGCCACAACCGTGCACGTGCATGCGTGTGTCATGGCAAGATATCTGGATTAAGAGGTTGCTTTTTCTTTGCACAGCATGAAAGACAGGTGAAATGAGTGGGCTGTGATTTTAGTATTTTTAAGCAGAGGTCAATCATTTGTACGGCCCTCGGAGGATGTTGAAAACATTTAAATGGCCCTTGAGAGGAAAAAGGTTCCCCACCCCTGCTCTAAAAGAATGTAAATGTGACATTTTGGGTTGAATAATCTTCAGTGTTCTGCACAAATGTTGACATTTCGTGAAGTGATCCAACTTCAGAGACTGACAGTAAGCTGTGCTCATACTCTGCCTCATTTTTCAACTGGAAACTTCTAATATATAAACTCCAACTTGTGGAATACAAATTAGGAAACATGTAGATCCTTGTAGAGGAGCTTCTCACCACATGAGGGCGCTATTGTTAGTTGATTCTTAAACAGAGGACACTGCAGCTTCTAGCAACAGATGTAACAGAACTTAAAAAACGTTTTTATATAACCAAGTGCAGTACTCATCACTTCATAATTAATGAGTAATAATCTTGGAAGCGTAAATAAGAATAGTCCAATTTACAGAGGAGGTCACAAGATTTTTTTTTGGATTGATTCATTCTTCATAAACACAAATATCTGATCAAATAGCTCAGCACATAGGATTTCTTATCACTAAGAGCCCTTTAGGGGCTTTTGGTATTCAGAATTGCTGCATAAAGACATAATGGCCTTAGAAACCATAGATTAGAATATCTCACAGCCTCTAGTTTCTAGCAAATGGATTAAAATGTTAACCCAAATATTCAAGCTGCCACCGGGGTTAAGATGAGCCTGAGGTTGAAATTGGAGTGAAATGAAACGTGATAGGTACTTTAAATAGAGATACAAAAAAACTGCCACTGGTATCTGATTAAAAAGCCAATGTTTACTATGGACTACATTAAGGTTGGTATTGATCTGACTGCACCTGGATCGATTTGTTCACTGGGGGTAATATCCCTGCCCTGTGCTAAGAGTAAAGGTCATACCCCCTCCTGCCATCCATCTATTTTTTATCTTTACCTGTCTCAACCCAGATGACTTCATTTTGGTCTGATTCTGATTGCATCTTATTATTCGCAGCACACATCTTATCCTCCCCAGAACGTAATCCTGATCCATGCCATTGAGAGGAACATCGTTATCATTAATTTTGCTGGCCACATAATCTACACTGTGATGCTGTTCGTATTTTGCAATTACAAGTATTTTCACACTTGATGAGATTCAAGATGGAGTGGTAAATAGTGAGCCCTTTGTAAGTTGATGGTGATAGGGCCACTGATATATCTAGTTATTCTCTTTTCCAAACTTGTAAAATGGCCCATTTAGTTTGTTAAAGAGACTATAATCAATGTTTGTATGATAACAGTGGATACAATGCAGTTTTCCATAGCGTCCTTTTCACTACTAAGAGCAATATATTTCTCCCAGGAGATGGTGGTGACCAAAAACAGCGATAACAGGGGAGTAGAAATTGGACCGCCATTCTATCGCTGTCTCTTATAAATTTACTTTGCCATACAACTGAACTGGGTCCTCAATAATATTTTGAGGAAACAAATTTTCTCCAAATATTTGGTTGCACTTCTTAAAGGTGAGGTAGGTAAGTTTGAGAAACCGGCTCGAGATACACTTTTTGTTATATTCCAACAAAACCTTTGCGAGATCTCGCAAAGGTTTTGCGAGATCTCGCAAAACCCCTTTGCGAGATCTCGCAATACTTTTCATTTACACTTCCTGGTCAGTTCGGCTGCTACGGCAACACAGAAACCATAACAATGGAGTGGTTCATCGATTTTACTTTGAGCTTGGCCTTAAATATATAACATCAGTGCTTGGCAATAGGCACGGATTTCACACATAGACTGTAAAGGGTTTCACATAAGTGAAGACACCTCAAGAAAACACTCAGAGCGAGGGGACATGCACGTTCCTCTGAGCTGAGTTATTGACAGATTCGAATTTCGCGGATCAATAACTCATGAACATAACGTTGTAAAAATACAAACAACATGACTTTACAATCATAGCAAGGTAGACAACGAGCTACAGAGTCGTTTTTATCAGAACAGTTCGATACGCGCCGTCATCCGAGCTAAACATCAATAATTGGTCACAATCCGCAGCTGGAGGAGGGAGAGGAGTGCTTAGGGACCGTCTACAAACTGCAACGGGGTTTTGCGAAATCTCGCAAAAGTATTGCGAGATCTCGCAAAGGGGTTTTGCGATATCTCGCAAACATTTTTTTTTCTTCTCCATGTCCCCTGGGGGCTCCGTACGATAGCAATGAATATCTTAAGTGCTTTGACAAAAAATACATAGAAAAATGTCATCTGTGGAAGCTGTAGTACTGTAAAAAGCACGACCAATCATTTTAGCCGGCCCGACTAAAATAACTGGTTGGCCTACCTGCCTGTCAGCCTTCCATCTGTGCACAAACTTATCTCGTGCCCTCATTGGTCATGTGCGCGTTCGTGTGTGTTGGAGGAGGGGCTCTGTAAGGAAGTGGCAGATTTTTTCCGGTTATGTATTTCAAATTCTAGCACACTCGAGCTGGTTTCTCCAAACCCCACCTCTAACACATGGTTAATTTTTTTGTTATTGAAGTAACAGACTTAAATCAAAACAAGTCCATGTTGATTTTTGCTTTTTCAGTTATTCCTGTTTTTGTTTAAACAATTAATTCACACATCACTTCGATGTGTGGGCTTCCATGGACCAGGATTAAAAACCTATTTATGATACGTCCACCAACATATTTTGGAATAAAAACAGCCCTCCTTCGGAAAGTAATTGACAATGCAGGTTCATTGTAGGCCTATGGGAAGTACATTTTTTAGGAGACCAAAAAAGCACTCAATTAACTACTTGGCTAATAGTTTTAGCCAACTAGAAGGCAAATCAAGATGAAATAGGAAGGGAGACATCTCCATTATTTCACTAGCTCATTTACTCTGATGCGGATTTCACACCAGCGCTTTTCCCTTTCTAGCTCCGAGCGGGAGCTTTTCTGGTTCAGCTCCGGTTTCTCTTTTCTGCTCCCGCTCTGTTCACACCGCCCAGAACTGCCGCTGCTGCGTCATGACGTCACCGTTTACG